GTCCAGGCGGGTCTTGAATGTCTCCAGATGAGGAGACTCCACAGCCTCCCTGGGCAGCCTGTTCCAGTGCTCTGTCACTCATACAGTGAAGAAGTTCTTCCTTGGGTTCAGGTGGGACTTCCTCTGCTCCAGTTTGTTTCAATCGATCGGCTGTGCACAGTCCCCAGTTCCTGTCTGCTGAGCGCGGCGGGGGCGATGGAAAACCCCCAGGCACGCCGCGGGGAGCCTCGCCGTGTTCGGCACCTGAGGGGCAGCAACCTTCTCCCTCAGCCTTTTTCCCAAGTGCTTTTCTACCCATTTGTTTTCTTCTTACTGCATTTGGGAATGCTGTAACGGACGACTCCAAATGCTGAAGCTGGGACCTTGTTAGTCATCTCGGTTCCACTACTGGGGTTAGCATGAAATGCATCAGAAATATTCAAGACAACGCTTAGTTAATAGTATTGTAAGATCTCTAATTCACCATGGTATTTCACTGGTGCTAAGAATAGAATAAAATGTGGATTTAGGCAATTTCATTAAATTCCCGGCCCCCCAGAAGGATCTGCAGTAAGGCAAGGCTCCGCATTTGCAGGGGGGAGGCAGGATCAAGTTCGCAGAAGCTTGTGGGGAGTAAAGAGATTCCTCAAAGCAGCGAATCGGCGCAGAAAGGTGCGCTGGAATGCAGCCTGGCAGCATCGCCAGAAGGCAGCTGGGTTTTCTGTTTGTGTCTTGCCTAGATCTCACTGGCAGACTGTTCCCTGCCCATCAAACCACCTCTCCTAGGCTCTGGAAACAGAAGGAAGCTCCCAAAAGTGAATTGCTGCTGTTATGGTGAGTCACAGATCATATTGTGATTTTATTTTCCTTCTTTTTATACCGATGGGACTGAGCTTTCAGTACAATCAAACTTTCAGGTAGGCATAGAGAAAGGACTAAATATGAGAGTAGTCCAGGGATGCTCAGTTTTCGGTCAGAGTGATGGTAAATTAAATCTTCTTTGTTACGGCCTACAGAAACCAGATTTTTAATCTCATTCGTAGTGGGTAAAACCCACAGCAGGGGAGAGACCAACCATTACACCTCAGAGATGGTCCTCCCGAGGTCAAGCTGAGTGATGCTGGAAAGTAACATCGTTCTGACTTGACTGCTGCTGCAGGATAAGCATTACGTATAAAAATCACAGCTCAGTGTCAAGAACTGAGTCACACACCCCCCCAGCTACTAAAATGTTCTCCCCAAAATAGCTGATGTTGATAAAATCCTGTCTGCCTGCCTTAGTGCCAACGTCTCTTGACATCCTCAGTATCGCAGTACTTTGGAACTCTTTTAGCCTAAATCCATTTGTCAGTTCTCATTTTTCCGCCAACGCAGAACTAGTTGCAGTTCTAGGCAGTAAGTTGAGACCGCTGTTTTGCAGAACCGGATTCCTCTGTAATTATGATGTTGGCTTCAGTTTCTCAAAAAAAAAATCCCCACTATTTTTGCACTACAATTATTTCCCAAGAAGCTGACATGTTTGTATCTGGCATACTTTCCCGTTTGGTAGCCAAATAGTATTCAGACTGCTTTGAAGATAACCTTAATCTTTCAGTGCAACAAAGCAGAGCACTAAGAAGTATTAATAACGTACGTATGTCACAGATTGGCCTTGGAAACCTGACGGTGAGCCCCCCAGACACGGCCGGAATGAACAGCTCGTGTCTGGGGCGGCCTCGCAGGACTCCACACCAGCTGGCCCCGCAGGCTTCCTCCATCTGCTAAGACGAGCCCTAGAGAGGGGCTTTGCTCCCAGAGCTGCTGCGACCAGCGCGATGGGAAGAGACCTCCGAGTATCCTCTAGCCCAGGGCCAAAGCACGGCCAGCGACAGCCCCTTCCC